TGCAAGTAGTCCTGTTTGGTGGCTTCACCAGGTTGATACCTCATCTTCAGGTATGTCTGGTGCTACTCCTGGCATGCTCTCCTGCACTCTTCATTGAACCAAGGTTGATCCCCTGGCTAGATGGTAATGGTTGAGTGGGGGATATGCCGGGCCATGAGGTTACAGATTGTGTTGGAGTATAATCCTGCTGCTGTTGGTGGCCCACAGTGCCTCATGGATGCCCAGTCTTGAGTTGCTAGATCTGTGCGAAGTCTGTCCCATTTAGCACGTTGATAGTGCCACACAACACGATAGAGGTTGTTCTCAATGTGAAGGCAGGACTTCGTCTCCACAAGGACTGTGCGATGGTCACTCTTACCGATACTGTCTTGGACAGATGCAACTGCAGCTGGCAGATTAGTAAGGATGAGGTCAAGTATGTTTTTCCCTCTTGTTGGTTCCCTCACCACCTGCCTCAGACCCAGTCTAACAGCCATGTCCTTTAGGGCCTGACCAGTTCGATCAGTAGTACTGCTGCCGAGCCACTGTTGGTGGTGGACATTGAAATCCCCCACCCAGAGTACATTTTGTGCCATTGCCATCCTCAGTGCTTCCTCCAAGTGTTATTCAACATGGAGGAGTACTAATTCATCAGCTAAGGGAGGACGGTGTGTGATAATCAGCAGGAGGTTTCCTTACCCATGTTTAACCTGAAGACACGAGACTTCATGGGGTCCGGAGTCAATGTTAAGGACTCCTACAGCAACTCCCTCCCGACTGTATACCGCTGTGTCACCACCTCTACTGTGTCTGTCCTGCTGGTGAGACAGGACATATCCAGGGGCGGTGATGGTGATGGTGGTGTCTGGAACATTGTTTGTAAGGTATGATTCTGTGAGTATAACTATGTCAGGCTGTTGCTTGACTAGTCTGTGAGACAGCTCTCCCAATTTTGGCACTAACCCCCTGATGTTAGTGAGGAGGACTTTGCAGGGTCGACAGGGCTGTTTCTGCCGTTGTCTTTTCCAGTGCCAAGGTCGATGCCTGGTGATCTGTCTAGTTTCATTTCTTTGAGTCTTTGTAGCGATTGGTACATCTGAGTGGCTTGCTAGGGCCATTTCAGAGGACAATTGAGAGTCAACCACATTGCTGTGCGTCTGGAGTCACATGTAGGCCAGACCAGGTGAGGGTGGCAGATTTCCTCCCCTGAAGGACATTAGTGAACTAGATGGGTTTTTCTGACAATCGGCAATGATTTCATGGTGATCAGTAGATTCTTAATTTCAGACCTTTTTTTATGAATTCCAATTCCATCATCTGTCGTGATGGGATTCGAACCCAGGTCCCCAGAACATCAGCTGGGTTTCTGGATTAAAAGAAGTCTAGCGATAATACCACCAGGCCAGTAGTATCATATGGTCCAGTATAATGAAATTATATAGTTGGGTGCAATACCTTTGTACATGTTAAACTTCTGACAACCGTTTGATGAAGGAATAAACTGGAAGTCAAGCCTTACTCAAAGTGAGACATGACAAATCAGCCCCAACCAAGGAAGTCCTGAGGTGCATTGGTAGCATTTCTGCCTCTGAGCCAAAAGATTCAAGTCCCACTCCAGGATTTGTTGGCCAAGGAAGTTGCATTCATTACATGGCCAAACAGATTTATCATCAACTTGTGAATCCTTCTAACACATACCAATAGCAGGTGCCAGGAGTGAAAGAAATTGCTGTGTGATGGAAAGAATTTGAACCCCCTACCATCACAATCAATGGTTCCAGATTACAAGATGAATAGAGAAGTATTTGTAGAGACTCAGATCCTCAGAAGTACTGGTTGGCTAAATTGGCTGCATGTTGGGTGTTGATAATTTGGTGCCAATGGCAGAGGTTTCGATCCCCAATCTGGCTGGGGTGAATTTAACACCTGCTTCCTTGTCCCACCCATAATATGTCATGTCTCAGTGGGTTGAGCCTGCATTCGAATGGAAAACTGAAGAAGTTCCCAACTGTACAGTCAACACCAGTATTTATAGTGTTATTTTATACTTTAGTTTGTTTATTCATGGAATGTGGGCATTGGTGGCTTGGCCATCCCTAATTGCCCTGAGATCACAAGTAATTGTCTGAGTGTCTCCCCACTTATGTAATTTATACAATTAACAGTGCAGCCTGATGCAACAGGGTCATGTAGTTGGGTGTAACTGAGTTTAAACATAATTTTAGGCAGTCAGACCCTTGTTTGAATTAATACAAGACAATAAGTACTTAAAATTCACAATTGGTTAGTGTCTAAAAGAGATAACAGATTAATAATTAGCTATTTAACTGATTAACAATTCAGTGATCAGCTTGCATTTTTATGAAGAGTCCCACCCAAATCATATTACTGTAATTTACACTGTTGGGTGATTGCTGTACTGCATCTGTGTAACCTGTAATG